CCCCCCCCCCCCCCCCCCCCCCTCTGTATGACCACGTTGTTGCGACGCCGTTGTAACCACGAGAAGATCTCCGTCCCAAGGATAAAGCGATCCTACCTGTTCGAGGGCCTCCGAAAGGGGCACACCTACCGTTTTCAGGTGCGGGCGGCCAACAACGAGGGCATCGGTCCCTGGTCCGAGCCAAGCCAACCGGTGCGAACCCTGACCGAGCGTCCCGCGCCCCCCCGCGCCCCGGCCCTCTCAATCTCGCATCCGCCGCCAGGGCCGTTGTCGCTATGGCTGTCGTTGTTCCTTCCCGATGAAGACGGGGGTGACCCCGTCACCGCCATGCTCTTAGAAACTCGACGACATGGCGGAACGCAGCCGCCGGAGTGGTCCCGCTGTGAGCGCCACCCGGTCCCTTCCACCATCGACAAAGGAAATCAACATGGCCCTACTTCTGCGTTCACTTCTGCTGCTCCGACTGGACGCGACTGCGGAGACGGGGGCGGCGGCAGCAGCGGCGACGTAGAGACCGGCAGGATTCTTGAGCCCCAACGACCAGGGCGAGTTGGTCGTGGCGACACAGCCGGCATTCCAGGCTCAACTCCAAAGGCGAGGACGTGCTGCGAGATCGTCGTTCTTGTGGAAGGCCTCCAGCCTCGGACGTACTACTCGTTCCGGGCGTCGGCTGTTAACGCCCGGGGCGCCAGCGATCCCGGGCCGCCATGCCGTCGGGCGCGCACCTCTGCCCCGCGACCTCCGTCTTGGGTTCTGGCACAGGACACTGTCAACACCACCGCCGTCGCCGCCCCTATGGCCCCGGCAACCACACTCTCACCAACGAAAAGTGCCGGTGGCACCGCTGGCGTGGCTTTCCGTTGCCCTCCTCCCCGGGCGGCGTCCTCCGGGCTCGGAGCTTGCACCGTTCGCTGGGAAGAGCCGTTTTCGAACGGGGCTGCAGTTGAGCAGTATCAGGTCGAAGTCGTGAGATTAGGACCAGAAGTCGAAGGCAGCAACGTCGGGGTGTGTGTGGACAGGGACAAACAGGTCGAGGATGCCGACAAATTCAGTGCTAACACCCCAGCAGCACCTTTGAAGGAGGAGGAAGGCGCGTCGGGCGACGCGAAGAAAGGCAACGGTGTTGGTCGGGAAGATCAACAAGACGATCCTTGTAATAAGCCAACGCTGTCTGCAGTCATGCATAAGGCGGAGACAGACGAACCATCGGAGACAACGACTGCGCCGCCACCGCCGGAAGTGGTAGTCTTGCCGGCACCACAGCTCGTGGGGCGAGAGGGGGGAACGGTGATAAGAGAGGTAAAGCAAAGTTTCCCGCGCCTGGTTCCCTCTCACCTTCGGCATCTCGTCATCAGAGGTCTAGCCACGGGTGGGGACTACGTATTTCGAGTCTCGGCGAGCAACGCGGCGGGAATGGGCGAATCCGGGCCGTGGACGGAGGTTGTACATGTCGTAGACCCTGTCGACGAATGTTGATGACTCTTTCACGGCACGTTCTTCATGGTACGACCAGAGTGATGGCAATGGTCTGTTGGTGTGTGTTGTGCTTGTTGCATATTTTGTGATTTGGCGTACGTCACCCAAGCCTTGTGTTATTGTACACTTTCTATGCATAGGGGGAACAGGTGGTTGCTCCGAAAAACAAACTATCGCTACGAAGCTCGCTTTCAGTTGCATCTTTTCATGGTGTTCTTTCTCTTGTTTGTCGCCTCTACATGTTGGCAAACCGGAACACGCGGAGAGTTCATTCTTGATTTTACAAAAAATAGTCAATCGATACGTGCTTGCAGCTATCGCAAGTTGTTGACTCTACTGCTGCCACTCATTCCAATCCTTGCTCACACCCGCCACAAAGGGAGCTACACAATCACTCCTGCCAGGCGCCAAAAGTGCATCGTGATATGACATACGTCAGCGCGAGCGTGATACTATCTTCGTATGAAGCTCCTGCTATGGCACTTTGATCCCCCAAGAACGTGGTAGTACCTTTTCAGCAGCGAGAATTGAGCAGCAGTAGACCTAAAACCATGTTGGCGTACAGTTGTGCCGACTTACTTGCCGATTTCATACAAATGAAGCGTACGTTCGCCTACATCCGTTAGACGTTGTGATGCCTTTCTACGTCAGCATCCATCGCCGCCGTCGTTCGTAGTACCTGCATATCGTAACATTCCCTTCTCTACCGAGGGGATGCAATCTCGACGCATGTCTCTAACTTTATCACGAAACGGGGTCACAGCAATCCTCTTTCCCCCATCAACGGTGGTCGACCCAAACTGTGGACATACGAGTTTCTAAATTATGTATCGCTGGGAATTGGACCCACGACATTGGACCATTCTGTCCTATTGAGGATAGTCTACCTTTGTACTTGTAGATGACCCCGATGTTGGATGATTCCAGGACTTTGAGAAGAGGGAGCCGAGAAGTGACGAACGACGGATACGTTGGTCGCGTGCCCGAGAGAGAGAGAGAGAGAGAGAGAGAGAGAGAGAGAGAGAGAGAGAGAGAGACGGGGCTTGTTTGTAAACAAAGTTCAGTTGGTCGGGGCTGGCAGGCGAAAGATCAATCGTCACCGAGGAAATAACCCATCGCTGTTTTTTCATACACGTTGCCGCAGCTGTTGGGTGTAACCTGGTGCACCTAGATACAGACGGGAGCCAGAGTGAGGGCGCTGCTACGAAGGCTCCGCGTCAGAGAGAGCTAGACCGATCACCGGGTTTGACTATGGGCTGCTGTGTTTTATTTTTGTTTGTTTGTTTTTCTCCCATCATTGGACTCTGTCGTCTGCCCCTCTGGCCCCTATCCTCCACTTCTACTAGCTAGACGACCCAACCGGAGTCACATAGGAGGGGGGGGTTGGACCCCCTCCTGCGGTTCATGCCTGAGGTATTTTTATCGCGAGAAGGGTATAGCAATCCCTTCCATCGCGACTTACGAAGTCGATTATGGTTTACGAGCTTTGCAGCGCGTCGCTTTCATCCTAGACCAGGATATATTTAGTGAGAAAAAATTTTTCTCTGCCGCGACTCGAACCCACGACCTGGCCCTCAGCAGGCTGCGAGGCTGCCCACTAGACCACCGGGGCGACCGGTGTAGTGTATATAGTCTAGGCGTGTAGTAGACCATGTATATCTACCGCTGTACACGGAGCTGCTGTTGTTATGTAGACTATTATAGACTATTGATATCGTTGGTTTCCCCAAGGGTTATTCCAGCAGCACAAAGTCTGCGACACACCCTCGACGAAAATCTTAGGCTGGTAGTCCTCTTCGATGCTACTTGTATGAGTATGCATGGTGTGCATAATGCGGCGATGCGGCGCAACTGAACCATGATCCCATGATCCCAGTTCTTCAAGTGGATCAAGTTGGATCCGACCTCCAATATTATAGAGCACAGAGAATTTGATCGATACAAACTCGTAAAGTTATACGCGAAGTAGTAGAACAAAACCAGAGGTGGAGAGAGAAACAGGCAGCCAGTGCAGAAAGAGAGAGGAAGAGCTGCTGTGAGCCTTGAGCGTGTCAATTGTTAGGTGTAAGTGTCAAGCTCGTTTGTAAGATCTCCGAGATCTACGATGCCATGAGGGGGCTCCGCATCACAACACAAGGTGTCTGTGTCTCTCTCCGCAGCGGCCTTGAAACAAAGTGCAGTGTCATCCATCTTCCCTTCTCACATCCCTAACGCGCCTCGAACTATGGACGACGATGCTGACCTGCGGGATGTCGTGAAGAAAGCCCTCGAAGGCAAGGGAGTGCTGGCGCAAATCCGGGTGAGGAGAGTCGAAGAGATTTACTGGATGTGTGGCAGCTCGTGGATAAAAGCAACGGCACAAAAACATCTGAGTCTGCAACTGAACGGACGTTTGTAGCAATCCAAATCGATCGGTGCCCAGGCAAGGGTTGCGACGTAAACAGCACATACAGTAGTGCCAACCTCGAAGTCCCGTGTTGCACTCTCCACGCTCATACTGCAGTTCATTCGTTGACTAATCTTGGTCAACACCAACCAACGTCGATCAATGCAGGCATCGCTGCGGGCCGCTGTGTTTACTGTGGTTGATGAGCACGAGCGCACGGCAGGCGTGCACGTGCCCAATCCTGCTGCCCTGGTCGTGAAGCATGATACTGTTGGTGAGCAGAACAGAGTACGGTTTGTGGTTTTTGCACATCAGCGAGGATGTACAGTCTGGAGGTACAAATACCGCCGTATGTATTGCATAAAAAAAGAAAAAAGAAACAACAACCGCTGGGTACCCTGGGTATTTTGTAGCTCGATTTCTTCCACGTCAGTGTGGTTGGCAATGCCAACCGACACGAGGTTGGATAGTATTACACATGATCTGGATAGATTCGGGTCATCGTCAATTGCAATGATGGCTTTGGTTGGGTGTTCTTCTTCATTGTATGTCCATGGACTCATTCTGACAGCACTTCAGACAGCAGCTGCATGCCCCGAGCTTGTGTACAACCATGCACCATGGTGTTATTATTGTACAGACAGCACTTCAGCCAGCAGTTCGCTGTAGTCGACATTCATTTTGGTTAAATGCGGGAGAAGGGGGGTGATACTGCTGCTGTAGTCGAATTGTAGTGTGTGGGCGTGTAGTTCAGTTGTGAGCACGCAAACGTGCTGCAAGGATTATAGGTGTACCTCCTCGGGCTTGTGTACCCTTTTCTTGCTAAAAGTGTGTGTTCTTTAGCTCTTCTGATGGCTCTAGCATTTTTGTGACCGCGGACCGAGTCTTCGCTAGATTTTGGGATTAGCAACTGACACGAGGTTACTGTGAAGAAAACCAGCAAACAACAAGTATTGCCCGCAGAAGAGTTCTGCAGGCCGGTCCCAGTTTGTTTCTCTTCCAGAAAATATTATTATTACTGAAGTTGTATTTATGATAGTGGAGTAGGGCCGATTTTGTAAAATGTCTATGTGGCAGTTAAGGGCGCGGGGGGGGATCGCCGAACCTCCTCTGAAAAATCCAGGAAGCGCCAGCACATCTCAGGTTTCCGAAGTCTAACTCCAGTACGAAACTACGATCGCAAATTAACCGTCCGCCGCCGTCGCTTGTTTACAATGCTAGTGTCGGAGATTGTACGTAGCCCTTGTGATACACTGCAGACTATTGTAGCGGTCCGCGATTGTCCAAACGATCCTTCGATGTATCATCGAGATCGGTGTGCAAAAAGCAAGATTTTTGAAGCTGCTGTGCGGTCCGATTTTGAACCGCTTCAAGCACCATTGCTTTTGGTTAGACCTACGTATACATGACCGCAGGCATTCAAATCGGCTATAGCGACGAGTAGGACATGAGAGGGAAGAGCTGCTCTGAAGTTCGCGGACCCACACAATCACATAGGCGCTGATTCGCCGTTGCTGTGTGATTGAAACGGTCCAAAATCGGACCGCACAGCAGCTTCAAAACTCCTGCTTGTTGCAGACCGATCTCGATGATAAAAGGATCGTTCGGAAAATCGCGGACCGCTGGTCTGCAGTGTATCACAAGGGCTACAATCTCCGACACTAACATTGTTCACAAGCGACGGCGGCGGACGGTTAGTTTGCGATCGTAGTTTCGTACTAGAGTTAGACTTTGGAAAACTGAGATATGCAGGCGTTTCCTGGATTTTTCAGAGGAGGTCGTGCATTCCCCCCTCGTGCCCGTAACGTTGTTGATGCAGACGGCCTTTTTCATCGAAAACGGTACAAATTAGATGTACCGCTTTGTAGATAGAATGTAGAGGCATTGAAAGATGGTGTAGTAGACGTTGTCGGTGTTTGGCCGTGCCCAACCTACTTGTCAAAGTTGACATATATGTGATGTTTCTCATGAAAGAAAGAAGGGATGTTTATGTGTAGTTGTTGCAACAGGCAAAAGGCCACGGGCAAGCAAGGCAAGGCAAATAGCACAATGGGATAGCCTCCGGATAAGGAAGGCTTTTTTACGTTTTTATCCCAAGACGGTCCATCGTACACAAGTTGTTTCTCTTCCCGCCGGAAGTGCACGAATGCATACACGTTACGAGGCGTCCCTCCGGAGTGGGGTAAAGAGAGCACCGCGGCAGGGGGTGATGCAAGAACATGCAAAGAGCAACGCAGATACTTTGTAGAGTACGCACCGCTGTTCGTTCCCTCCACACTCACTCCGCATATTTTTGCCTTTCATTTTTCTGATGCTGCGTCTCCCACCGCCGCGGATTCCAGGCCGCCAAACGACGTGAACTTCATGAGAGCCGTATTGTCGCCCAGGAAACGCACACCCAAAACCCTCCCTACAGGCGGGCGGATAAGCGCTGTATATCCGCGCGTTTGGCATGCAAACAGTATGTTGTAGGGCAGTGACCGTAGCATCATATGGCGTGTGCCACACGTTCCGGAGAGAAGAGGCCACACATGCCGAAGAAAACGGATGGATGGATGGATGTGAAAAGGTGGGACGGATCGAATGAATCTTGACAAGAACAGCGAGCGTGTTGTGTCTTTTTTCAGATGTTCAAAGAAAAAATGGATACACGTAAAGCACAAACAGCCACACACCATCACGTACTCCGTAGTACATCATACACGCATGGCATGTGTACGTCAAACAGATAAGACAGGTTCGTGGAAAAAGTATTTCGGAACGAACTCGCGTCCTCAGCGACCTGGGCGCAGAACTATTTTGTTGTCACTATGTGTTCTACGTCCATACAACGTCGTTCTATGTTCGGTCGAACGTTCCAACTTTGTGCAAGCTTGGGCTGCTGCGGGTCGTGGGTGCTTGATAGCTATGTACCACAGCGTTTTCTTGCCTGTGCCTTACGAAGGGTGAGAGCCAGGGAGGAGGTGTAACAACGAGCAGCCAATACCCGAGCAGCCAGCAGCAGCAACACAGCGGCACAAACGTCTGGGAGTCGACGACAGCAGTAGAAAAGAGACAAGTCTAACAAACAGGCGGCGGGGGTTGTTCTGAGTTGAAGGGAGACGACAAATGGGACCCGACCGACAGACAGCTAAGCTTGCACCATCACTCAGCCTCGCTTTGAGCCACATCACCGTCCCACCTCTTAGATTGCTACAGTACATGAATGGCCTACCCGCTTTACTAAGCGGTTCAGACCCTTCTCGCGGGTGGGCGTGTTTGTTGTTCGTCCATCAGCGTGCAGCAAGCGCAAGCACGGGGTACAGGCGTGTGCGTTTTTCGAAACTGCTGTATACCGATACCTGTGACCAAGCAAGGTGTTCTTCGCTGTTCTACCCGCTACTGCTGATCTAGAAAGAAAGAAAATAATGTTACAGCTCCTTCGAAGAACATGTAAGACTCTCCAAGTCGAACAGCTGCCTGGAAACAGAAGGGAAAAGAACACCCGAACAGCCTCCACTGCTAATGACCAGCCAACACAAATGTATAACAGAAGTATAGATGGACGAAGTCTTGGACGAAGATGGTGCGCATAGGAGTAACACATTCGTGTCGATGTCACATGTACCTGATGGTAAGCGAGCGTGGTGGTGCATGGCGGGGGGGCGAGGAGGAAAAGGGAAGGACAGTGAGACGAATGAGCTCCGGGCAGGTATTTCGAAACTGAGACTTTGAGATGACGGAAAATAGGAAAAAAAGAATTATAAGTCGTATTTGCAACAAAACATGTAAAGAACGATAGTGTAACTAGCATAGTTTTCAAGAAGACGAACTTCAAACGGGCCGTGCTTGATGCCTATGTAGACCCAGATACGTCCCACCTAGACCCACGCAGTGCAAGTCTTGCAAAGGTAAAACCAAGTTGGAGGAATACTTCGACACGTCTAGCGGGTCTCGGAACCCGAAAAACAAGTCTGCCGCCCATGTTCATCAAGCGACGGACTCTTTTCATGCAGTCCGTGAGGATCCAGCCTTCCGGAAACGCGTGCACAAAACCTTTTAGGCCGAGTTATTTTTACAATCGTCAAGGATTTCACCGCCCGTGCACGACGAGCGCGTTGCTGGTATGTACCACCAGTCGGAGGTTGTCCTTTGCGCAACACCGCCTCCGCCTCAATCTCGCTGCCTAACGATCTCATCGCATCAGGAAGTATGTCAGCCGAGGCTGCCGTTTCTCCACCAGGATCCATCACCGCGTACTGTAGTTTTGCAAAACGCACGCCTTACCGTCTTCTAGGTCACCTTCATCTTGCTCACTGTCACCTGCCATCGCTGCTGGAACTTCCTGACGAGCTGCCGTCGCTGATCGGGTTATTCTCTGTGCCGACTTCGTTGCTATCTCGAGTGTAAGACGAAGATACGCTTGCTCGCACATTCAATGGATCATCCGACGTCAGAATTTAGTCCAGGAACGCTTTTGGAATGGCTCCATTCTCGCTTTAAGAATTAAGATTCTCTTCACTAAGAGGTAGAGATTTCGCCAGGGGAAAACCGACGACAAGCTGACCATCTTTGTCGACCATGCAATCGATTTATGTCCCTGATCATCGATTTACGTGCGCCCAATAGCCAGCCGGCCAAGATCGGAGGGTTTCGGTTTCTTCTTTCCCGCTAGAATCACCGTGATCATATCCAGCAGACCAGTGGCCGTCAATGGCAACTCCTTCGCAACAGAGCTGGAGTTGTTTGCGTACAACACAGATGTTCCTCTCATAGATCTCTTCGCCGTTCCCAGGAACGTTGTTCACACACCTTGATTCCAGTGCAGCAACATGGCCTTTCGTTCGAACGTGTGTACGCAGCGGCGCGCTCGACGAACGTCCCCCCTTTGTAGTTAATCGGGCAACGTACCGACCCAAAATCCGTTCGCCAAAGCAGCATCAGGTGTGATGTGTTCCTCGCCAACGAGCAGTAACACTCGTCGCATACATGTATCTTCCACGGTTCATCTGACGCGAAACCGTTCTTTGTTGTGACGAGGTTATCTTGCTCCCGCGACCTGTGACCTGCATACCCACGGAAAGTTGACATCATCATGCGTGAGAAAAACTTCCTGTTTGTTGGGAATCTCACTTGCTGAAACCACGTGATGTTCTCGTACCATAGTCAACCTATCGCACACGGCACAGGGAAACCTGCCGATGACAAGGTAGGGTTGCAATTGTTTATTTCAGCTACATCTCAACGTAAAACACGTGGTCACGAAAATCCTGTAGTCCTTGCAGGAGAGTTTCCGCGTGAAGAGGAGTCACCGAATTCACGCTGTCACTGCACGTTTGTTGACCTTCTGTTGTCTCAATCGCCGCTGTCGGGATCTCTCTGTTGAAATCAATCTGCCTTCAGCACTGACGGTATCACCGTCGACGTCGTCGTCATCGATGACCATATCATCGCTTCTTCGCCGTCTTTCGTACCTGAACAATCGATGGAGCACATGTTTTATAGTTGTTCGTAACAGGTTCCTGTCTTGTCTACAAGTGGACTGCAATGCATTATTTTTGTCACTTCGAGTCCAAACTTGCTCCACATCATTGCTACCTTACCTCTGTCTTTCCCGAGCCCTCTTGTTTTTGACCCCGGGCCCTCTTCTTAGCATCCGTAGTTACATCATGATGTCTTCGCCGGGTGGTGGGCCGTTTGCGTCTCATCGTACGCTATCGACTATTTTGTGCGTTGACATACACTGCTGCATAGCATGTATGTGGGCACGTGGTGCGTTCGTGCTGCCTCCAAAGGATTGTGTGTGTGGTTTATAGTTCAAGCAAGTCTAGCGCGTACAGCATCAATCCGTACGGGCTCCGTCGTAGCTACCTATCCTCTGTTTTTCCCGAGCCCTCTTGCTTGTTTCCCGGGCCTTCTTGTCATCCGAAGGTACACTACGATGTCGTCGTCTGGTGTGTCGTTCGCGCAACATCGTACGCTACCGACTTGTGTGCTTTGACCTACTGCTCTATGTATGTATGTCGTCTTGCCGTGCGTGTGTTTACTATTACAATAGCACCGACTGCGCTAACCGGCCGACCAATGCAAAGACGTCAGTCTCACCGACTTGTGTGTGCATTGATGCCGTTCTATGTAGGTGTGGTTTGCAGTCAGCAACAGCAGTCAGTAAACCGTTGATGGTTGAATAACTTTTTGGTTCCGTTGTCGACGAAATGTTGCGTTCCGTGTGCGAACGAACCAGCACGGACTCGTCGTCTCGTCCTGTGTGATGGGTGACACATGAAGGTCACGGAATGCAGATCTCCTCAACGGCGATAAGTCGGCAGAAAACGACCTCATTCTCCGCATGACTAAGTGTCGCACGGCACACGTCGTGTACAGGTGCTCTTTATGACCCAGCAGCGATGTACGTTTCAAATGTGGCCAACAGTGCTAGCGCCGTTGTGTGGAGGTCGTTTGTGTCGGATGTTTTTAACCGAGTCTTATCACAGTAGCATGTTTTTCGCATTTGACTTGATTTCGAAACGAAGCGGAGGGAGTTGAGCCTGGAAGAGGAGGCGTGACAAGGGCGGGGTCCGAAAATGAGGGTGCTTTTTGCCAGCTTGCACAGGGCCCAGTTTTGATTGAAACTGGGAAAAAGCCTTTCGATGGTACCTTCCCAATGTCACCCTTTTGGGCATTGGGGTTCTCCCTACAGTGCGTAGTACCAGCTTTGGAACTCGGCTGAAGGGGGGTGTGATATCTTGTGTGGAATGTGGTAGGTGGCACCGCCGTTCGTTGCGGCCGTCACACCCAAAGGAGAGGAGGGGTGGGGTGTACTCATAATCGTGCAAGCCGTAGTCGTTAGACCATTGACCTCGCATCCCTACAAAGCCGGGACGGAGCACGCCGGTTTCTCACCGGACCAGGCTCTCACATCACCAAGCGCGAAGCGCCGTGAGGTATTCGGCGAGTCGCATGAAGGGTGCGCTGCATCCTGCTAAGGGTGTTCGGCATCTTGTGCTTACTTCCTTGCGTACGGATGACAGCTGCGTATGACTGAATATATTTTCTGGTGTTTTCACTTTCAGAGACAGTTACAAGCACTGTGTAACTGCCTCGAGGGTGCTTGGCCATTTTTACACGACGTGGTGCAATATCCCCCTTGCGCGGAGGGAGGGTTCTCGACCCCGCACAAGTTAATCTACTCGACCACCATTGTGGCTACCGCCAAAAGAAAAACAAAGGCAAAAAAAAAAAGCGATAACCTGATTGCGGAGCTCACGAAGTGAATTGGCTTGTTTTCCAACGTCGCTGCCAAGCGACGAAAACCCAACCCCGATTGCAAACATCGGGGGGGGGGCGACGGGAGGAAAAATAGTTTCGACAATGGCGTCAAAATGGTATGTATTGTCGAACGATTTCCAGGCCCCAGGTCCCACGCCCGTGGCGGGTAGGTAATGATTGCTGAGAAATACAAGGTGTTTAATGTATTCTAAACGCGACACGCGAGAGGTCGGGGGATCTCAATGTCGTCATCGCTCGCCGGTAGCCGGTAGCGCTACCTGCCGGGCTGACCGGTTCGCGAATCTTGCGGAGTGGAACTACTTGATTGGATTTTTTTTTTTTTCACCTTTAATCCCCATCGGGTGAAAAATGTACAAATTTTGCGGGTGAACGCGAAATATAGCTGAAAAGCTCTCGTGAGTATCACACTTCGACGTTAAACCCTTGGACGAGGGAAAGGAAAGGCTGGACCCTTCTCGCGATAAAGTTTGAATTCAGCACGCACCGCAGGAGGAAGGTGGGGCATGAAAATAACTAAAAGAAGAAAAAAGCCCTGGTGTTTACCCCCCTCCTCTGTGACCCTGGATGGTTTTAGTTGTACGAAAAAATACACTGAAAAGTGTAGTACTCTACATACGCTGAAGAGTGTAGTACACGTCTCACCACGAAAAATGGGGGGACTGTCGCCATGATAAATAGGACGAAAACACAGCAACACACACCTTTTCGCGGTGGGCGGTAGATGCGACACGCGACTCGGCTATTGTCCTGTGGTGTGGGCCTTTTCGCACCTATTTGTGTGTGTTTTTTCTTTTGTTATTAGCATCCACCGCGCTAACCGGCTGACCAATGAAAAAGACGTCAGTCTTGGTGCGGTTGAAAACACAAAACACTTGTAAATGCCATTATCTGAGACCCCGTGAGGGGGCATTGTGTGTGTGTGTGTGTGTGTGTGTGTGTGTGTGTTTGGCAATTATACTATTGACAGTCCCGCCTGTACAAGAGTTTTTCTCACCCACGACCGCCTCTCAACGAAAAATATATATTTTTTTTCTTGTGGAATTTTCTTCTGTTCGCCCGTTGGTGTGTCAAAACACACGCGCCGAACTTGCCGCCAAATACACGCACGCATGCAGGCCGCTTGGCGCTGCAAGTCGTGGCCGATTTTTTGGAGCACTGGGAGCTGCACCAGACCCTTTCCGTCCTCAAGCTGGAGACAGACATGGCGACAGAGGACTTCTTGTCGACAGAGGAGCTCGGGTCTATCGTGGCGAATGGTGCCGCGGTGGGAAAGGGCGAGACAAAGACGCCTGATGGAAAACCCTCGCCGGTGATGCTCCAGGTGTGACATATGCAAAAGCGATGCAAGTGCTTGATCTTCGGCGCCGTGGTGTGTATTGTCCGTGCCAACCGTCGATCAATATTCAGCCCCCGTCAAAGTACATCCTCACGAAACAATCTAGAGCGGCGTGGATGCTTGCTCAACCTGTCCTCTGCCCCTGGCATGAGAGGGGAGGTATCGGTTGTTGGTGATTTGTCGCCCACGTGCTTCAGGTTGTTCCGTCAGCTCCTGATCGCATCTCGGTAAGGACCCTTGCCCGATGGACGTGAACAACAAGCCATGTTCAAGCTGCAGACAGACGAGCAAGTCCAGAGTGGTACACCGGTAGTGTCCCACCTACAACAATCCACGCGGTGCTTGACGTGCGCGTCGTGCTCGACAACCCCCGCCCCCCCGAAGCGCCACCTCTTTCTGCCATCCCTTTGCGACAAGCAACTCTGATCCGCTTTCGCGCCCGTCTGTCGTGTGTTGTTCCAATCTGTCTTGACACCCCTAAACGCTCGAGAAAAGCTGCTAGCGGCGTGTCGCGCAGCACCTCGAGACAGAGAAAACGGGCTTCCTCTAGGGGCCGCCGCCGCCGACCGGAGTGAGAGGTTGATCGGCGAGGACAAGGGGCGGAAGGAGGAAGAGGGCAGGCAGGAAGCGGAAGAAGGAGAAGAAGACGGCGGACGGCGGGGCACCACGTGGAGAGGGGTGGGCGTGGAAGGGGACGGCGTGCCGCCAAGAGTGACGCTGAGGAAACGAAGAGGTTAGCAAGATGCTGCCATTAATACGACATGTTGATACCAATGTTGATTTGTCGCTGATGGTACTGTGCTGTCTGCATCGCCTGGTTTGTTGGATTCCCTGAGTGTGGCTCGAATCGGAACATAGCGCTTCTTTTGGGATGGAAGAGTATAGCGATTCCCTCAACGTCGAAACGTGGAGAATCCCGTGGTCGTGTCCTGTCCCGTTTCGTGTTCGCTCTCTCGAGAATCACATCAACAACACGTCGCCCTCTTTCACCTCCCGCCGACAGGAGACCACGGTGGAACCAGTGGCACCAGCGTTAGCGGCATGGGCAACGGCAGCGGAGGAGAAGACGCCAACGAACCGGCCTGGAGCGTTCCGTCTGAACCAGTGTCGTCGGCGACGGCAGGAGAAAGAGAAGGCGACCGGCAGAGCCGGGAGCGGGAGAACGACGGCGACGCCGAGGAGAGCCGGTTTGGCGGGCTGCTACTACGCGAACAACCTACAGCTGCCGATGACATCTACCGCGGGGAAGACAAATCAGGGGGACAGGACAGGTGGGAGCACCACTTTGACGGGAGAATGGACGAGAGCTCGTACGACTTCTCGGAGAATGTTGAGTCTGTCAAGGGGGCTGGTGAGGATCCGATGGTAGCAGCCGCCGCCTCTGGCGTGGACGGGGGCGGGGGCGACGGCGAATCGATCTCGGCGGCGGCTGCGGCGGCTGCGGGGGGGGGGGCTGTGACATCTGAGAACGCGGCACTAGTGGAACAAGCAGGGGTGTACGACCGCTCTTGCGAAGGCAAGGAGGACGACGGGCCTCGCCGAGAGGAAGGCGATCGATTTTCTAAGCACGCTGGTGCTAACAACTCGTACGGCGGCGGCGGCGGCGGCGGTGTGTTGAGAAATGGCAATGGAGACAGCCTGGCCGGTTTTGGTGGTTCGAGCGACAACGGCGGCGGCGTCGAGAAGGAGCCTCGGAGGTAAGAAGGAATCATGGTCAGTCCAGGACAATTTGTCCAATTTAATTTTTGGCGATAACTTTCGAAAAAAAACGAATTGAAACGTGACCGCGGCGTCGAGCTGCGTCGATATCCGATGAGTTTTTGTTGTTTGGGCAAAATGCGACATTTTTCGCTAGAATGATTCACGGAACCCCCCTCCCTGCACCCACCCACGGTCCCCCTAACCACACCGCGGACCCCTCGAAGCACGCAGAACAACGCAGTAAAATGCCGTAGTACTCAAGGCACGCACCACGCACCCTCTAAAAATGTAGCCTAAATACAGTAGTGAACGCCACAAAACCAACGACACAGACACCACGACACACCGTTTCCGCCCAAGCGTGCGCGTTCCGGATAGCTTATTTTTTCAGCAGCGATCTCCACGACCTCCACGCGCCCTTCAAAACAAAACTGTCGCTCGTCAAACGCACGAGAAGCGTGTTCAGCGCCTTTTTCTGCTTCCACTCCTTGACATTCTTGTAAGCCCTTCTAACCGACTCAGTGCGCATCTCCTGCGCGGCTGCTAGCGCCGTCGTAGGGCGTGTGGGCGAGGGTTGCGCCCTCGCACAAGTGCTATGTGGCTGGTGTGTGTGGCTGGTGTGTGGTGTGTGGGAAGAAAAAATTCCGCCCATCGGCAAAAACAAAATTTGGCATATCTCGCGAACCAGAATTTTTTTTTGAACATCGGAAAAAAATTAAGTCTGGGGAATTTCGACAGGAATCGATTGCCGTGGTCTTTTTCAAACTCTGTGGTTGAATATCACCAATAAAAGTGAACAAAATGGTCTCTGTACTAAAGTTTGCCGGCCATAACTTTTTTAGTTTTTATTGAAATCAAAATCGGAAAAAAGTTAAGTCTGCGGATTTCCAAGAGCTGTCCAAATCCGGTCTCAGAATCGTGGCTTGAGAAAAATACACCCCAGGAAAAAGTGAACAATATTTCCGGGTTATATGCAAATAAAATATGAACCGAGAAAAAAAAAAAAAACACAGGGACCTGTGCCTGGAGACAGGGCGTTTGCCGGTACTTTCGGTTTTCGGAACAACCACCGGTGTGCAGAGAAACAGTTCGATAAGTGCAGGTCGAAATTGTGGACAATCGGTCCTGGACTGACCATACGGGAGAGGTGTATGATTCCGGCTCGACACCACCTTCCTGTGTGCCTGCCCACCTGGTTCTCTTTCTCGCGGTTTGTTCGAAGTCGTGTTGTTGCCTCTTGCCACACGAATCTTTTGAGCAAATTGATTTCTGATCCTGACACCTTAATTCCGTTGTAGGGATGGTATTGACGCATCAACCCCTCGCCCCCCTCATCAACAGCTCGAAGTTTCTCCGAGGCATGAATCTCCAGTGATCTCTGTATGTCTTCACAAGCAACTAATATCGTTCGACGTGCGTATTGGGCGCCGCCAGCAGCAGTGTGGACGGGGGCGTGGCGAGCGGCGTTGACGAGTGGAACGAGGACTACTACGAGGATGATGACTTCGATGGTGACGGCGAGGAGGACATCGATAACGATGACGGTGATATTAGTGCCGCCGATGTAGCAGCCAAGGTAGCTGCAAATGCCGGCGATGGAGAAGTGGAGGATGAGGCGCTGCTGGCGGAGGGGGGTGGCACGCACCAGGACGGCTTCTTTGATCCGGAGGGCTCGCGGGTGAGCTATTCATGTTGGCTTGGGTTAAAGGTTTACTTGCTTTTGCTCATGCCTGGGCCCCTTTTTCCCTGTTCGTTCCTTTCTTTGTGTGGTTTGGACTGGTTAACGTTAACGTGAGGCCGAATTGGCGGCAGTGCAGGAATGGGCGAACGGTTGTGTCACTATCCCCCCCAACTCTCGCTTGCCTTCTCCTTGGGTGCCCCCCCCCCCCCCCCCCCCCCCGCCGCAACCCACGTGGTGAAACTCCGGATCCCTTAAAACGGGTCAAACCTAACCTCAGGGTAGGGTCAGCGCGGAGCAAGAGGAGCGAATCGCGGACCTGGAGTGGGAGGCGAGAGTCGGCCTATCTGCTGACAGCAGCGTGTCGGCGAGCCCGATGGAGGAAGACGGCATGGACGGCCCGGCGTACGAGATCGTGGACGCGCAGAGCATTTAGGAGCGGGGGGTGTTTGTGTGTGTGTGTTTATTTGGTGTAAAGCGATGAGATGATGTAGGCGTATGGAGTAAAACTCGAAGCGACTAGAATTGAGGCAACTGGTGATACCTTGCTGTTGAGAGGCTGCTTTGGGTCGTGTGTGTTTTCGGTGGCTTTTGTATGGTGGTTTTGTCTGGAGTGTTGTGTTGCGGCGTGCGCGTGTTGTGTGTGGCGTACAAGTGGAACAGCTTTTTCCGAATTTTTTGTTTTGTTCTTGGACGAGTGATAAGGTGTTGAACGCTTACTTGGGCCGAATAGTTGTCGCTCTCCTAGGTTGGATGGATCGGACCTTTGTCCTTTTTCAAGGGTCTCGTACAGAGCTTTTTTTTATTTCCGTTCACTCACCCCTTACAGAAAGCAGTTCGGTAAATTAGCCTCTGATCTTCGACTTGTTTCTTTGATGCAGGGGATTGCTCGTCGAGCCAAGGAAGACGTATACGTGTATTTATCTCTCAAGATGAATGAAGGGTTGTGAAAGCCAAATTGGAAGGTGCGAACATTACACACGTGGATAGACGTGGGTTGCATGCTCTCTTCTCTCTTTGGAGTTTTGGAAAGTATTTTGTTGAAAGGAGGATGTCGCAACGAATCAGCGCGACTTTTAATTAAGGTGGGAATGACATATTCGAGCTACGGGACAACATCGCAAGGAATCAGCGCAGTTCTCACCACGAATAGGATTGTACGTTCGGGCTACAAGTATGTAGTCTGGCCATCTGTCGATTAGCCATAGCTCTCGTGGTGTTGATGAGGCGGGAGGCATCTGTGACATAAGATGCATGCAGCCCAAAACGTGTTGGTACAATCCTCCCGTTTTGTGTGTGTTTTATTTTAGCACACGGCAGCAGCAGCTTCAGTCAGCTTCTACCTAGAGACGAAATTAGTAGTAATTAGTTGTGTGAAATCTGGAATCGATGGTATGCACGCAACGGCCCGACTCATGACTGTTGTCTTACCCAGTGGTTAGTCGCGAACTCGGAAGTGCTTCGCGTTGCCCTCTTTCCGCTGGTGGTATAGTTACAAATGATGCAGTGCGCGGAACCATGGCTCTGCACTTTAAGAGGTGCATGCAGCAGTGAATGGTCGTCAGGACTGCTTCGCTCCGCGCATGTATATCCCTTTTGCGTCTCAAGAGACAACATCAAACGAACACGGTCCTAGGCGAGCGCGGGTGTGGCCGATCTAGATGGATAAAAAGTGGGGGTTGGTTGTGCAGCGGTCTCATGGTCCCACGCTTTTAAGGGCCAAAGGCTTTTCATTGTCAACGTATGTAGGGCGGTAGGCGCGCACAGAAACAGAGCTCCTCCCCATCCCTCCAATGATGTCTAGTCCGCGAATGTCTGGCAACCCTATTTCCCTCCTCTCCGAAAGAAGAGAGTGGATTTGCATCGGCAGCGGGAGGCTTTGGTATCGGCCAGACATTCTCTCGCAGTCGTGGACGTAGATTTTCGAACAGAGTGTTGCCTCTATTCCTCACTCCATGAGATACAGCACTCGCGCTAGCTGCTACTGCTGTAGCATCATCACGTCTGTCGAATAATATTTTGCGTTCAGCCCTCCGCGATTCTGCGTGGATTGGTTGTTTTTTCTTTTTCATTTGATTGAGTGTTCCCTCCTGTATCTTCGTGTTTATAGCAAAACAAAGGAGCCAAATGACTAGAAAGGAGTGCGTGCACCTCTTTCTTCGACGATTTCCCAAACGCCGAACCCCCCCTCCCGCCCAACGCCTCCACGTGTCTTTATCAAGATCAATGGTGCCGAAAAAAGAAATCCAGCGGCATTACAATCAAACCATGTGTGACCTAAATAATAAATAAAAAACGACACCACATAGCAGAAATCCCGGGGAAACTGCGTCATGTAACCATGCCTTTTTTACTACGCAGTTATAACCCCGAACCGGCACCGGCAACACACGCGGAGCCAGGAGTGGAGGTAGGGACTGCATGCATGGCCGTGAGAGACCAACACGTCCTCCGGCGAAAGCCAGTCACACGCCCTAGATTCTCTTTTGCAGCCGCGGTGGACACCATCAAGTGACTTGCCCGGCCCTCTGTCACGAACACCGAAATATCACCCCGCCGCACACTCCAGAAACAATACCAACCCCAGCTCCCCCCATCGTCTTCATATCTGTCAGGTAGAAATCACGAGAAACAATCTCCCCCCCCGCCCCCCAGCCCCCCATAAACCTAAAACAACGATACTCAAATTTACCATGTCGTGCTTGGAGTGCTAGCTAACAGGCGCTGCGCTAGTCCATACCGTACTCCGCCGCCCTCTTTGCACCGCACCATTTGGTACAACTCCACAGCAATACAGCAAGAAGCATGTCGAGCGAAGCAAGTTACTTGGTTCACGAGACAACCAAAGTCATCCATCGCCCTAGACGGGTGGTAAAACCCACCATCCCGGACAAAATCGATTATAGCTTCAGCGATCAACCAGGGACCTCGCACCCTCTCGCGACAGGATCTTCACTCCAAACTAGTCAACGAGGGGCGTCCCGAAAGCAACATCTTCCGCACTCTTGTCACCGCTCTAACCCTCAGGGCGGCGACGACAACGACAACCGCAGCAGCACCAGCGTTTACAACCAAAGTAATCCGAGACCGGAACAGCAGCACGTCCAACCTATCAAACCCCAACGCATCCGTCGACTAGCAAGCACCAAAATGGCTCTACTCCTTGTCGTCGAAGTAATTGTTGAGGAACTGCTGCCAGTCTGCCCCGCCGCCGCCCTCGCCCCCCTGGGTCGTGTCAGCGAAGTCTTCGCGCCCGAACGCGGCGGAGTCCATCCCCCCGCGTCCCCTGCCCCCCCCGCGCCCCCGCCTACCGCCTTCTGCCCCGTAACCCTCATCGCCTGCACAGGAGGGTGGGCACCGTCGTCGTCACGTTTTGTAACGTTTTTTTTTTTTTTCGGTCGCACGGCAGCGCGCGGAAGAAGACATGCCGGTTCGGCGGGGACTTCGTTAGTAATTTTCCGCGAAGCACGCAGGAGTGTTGTTGTGAGGGGTAGACCTACTTGACGGAGTCATCATCACTTCGTTCGGGGGGGGGTCTTGTCTTCCGTTTTAGAAATTGAAGTCGTTTGAGTAGTCGTTCGAGTAGCTGTAGTCCTCCCCCCCTAATTTTTTAGGACAAGGGGTTGGGGGGCGTGGCGGGATGGGGGGTGGGGTGAGGGTGTTCAACATTGGCGGAGAACGATTGTAGTAAAGTCGGTAAGTCCCCCTCTGGAACGGAGACGGAGTTTTGCGAACAATTTCTCGGTGCTACATAGAAATATAATATTGTACGTCACAGCGTCAAACGAAGGGGGGACGCAATCCACCGTGGCAGGGCACTGGAGAGAGGTACCACCTACCGCACATCGATGACGGGGACCCAAAAACTTAACCTCTACGAAACACAGCTGGCCTACTCTTTTCGTCTGTGACCCGAGAGGTACGTAGCTCGACCGGACATCTATTTGTTCGCCTACAGTACAAGCACCACGACCACAGTACGGCAACCCCATCCTATCCCCTCGTTTCTCACCGTAGCCCCCACCACTCCTGTCGTCGTATGCGCCTGCGGGCACCATGGAAAGGTTGACGGTGTTGTTGTCCGTGTTGATGTCCGAGATGCGGACCTGAACTTCTTGGCCCATCTGTGGCATCCATCCAACGATGAACAACGCCGAGCACATGGAAGCGGAGAGGTGGACCGTAGATCGAGTTGAGTCCAACTAAAAATACTTTTTTACCAGGACTTCGAATGGACGGGGAATATTACACACACAACACCGAGTGGACTGGCCGGGCAGGGCGCAATCAAGTCCCCGAAAAACACGCACGAAGAGCCGCTCTACTTAAAAAACATGCAATAATCCCATTGCTTCCGTAACTCTGGCGTTGGTCGCACCGTACCCGTCCGGCCCGCTCTACTCAAGTCACCGACGTTCCGTTTCGACAATTTACAACCTCCAAGCCTACATACCACCGCCTGCTATCCACTTGCTCACCTCGCACACGTCCTCCACGCTGTCCACGCGGCCGATGGCCATCTCGGAGATGTGCACGAGCCCGTCGATGTTGCCCTCGATGTTCACGAACGCGCCGTACGGCACGATCGACACGACCCTCCCGGGGATGAACTCGTCAGGGTCCCGGCCGAGCAGGACGCTGACGTCCTTCTTCCCCCGCGCACCGCGCGGAGAGTTCTGGCGGGGCTCGCGCATGCTCAGCCCGAGCCGGCAGTTGTCCACGTCCACCTCGATCACGCGTACCTGGACCTCCTGCCCGATCTGCAGGTGGTCCTCGACGTTGCTCACGTGGTCCTCAGCGATTTGCGAGATGTGGAGGAGCCCGTCCGTGTCGTCGTCAACGGCAACGAAGGCGCCGAAGTGGGTGATGGACGCCACGCGGCCGCTGATCCACTCCTCCGGGGAGAGGTTCAGGAACTGCTCAACGGACTTGGCCTTCTTAGGGCCACGGCGGTCGTTGCCCCCGCCGCCCATGTTGCCGCCGGTGGCACCCTCGTATCCCTGCTCCCTCATGGTGAGGCGGAGCTTCCTGGAGCTCGGGTCAGCCTCTAGGATGCGCACCCTCACGTTCTGGCCGATCTGCAGGACCAGGATATCAACACGGGGATGGATGGTTTAAGAGGATGAGTATGTGCCATCGCGCGAGCATGTTGGGTTCTTCTGCACACGGTTACCTCCTCCATCAGGACAACCTGGCTTTGACCCTCGTCAACACAACTGCTACGCGAAAAAGCCGCGGCTGCCGGAACACCAGGAGAGGCAACGCACGCACGCGTCGAGAGAATACAAGCTGCACGGACACACGCACGGGACATCCTCGAAAAGCCGCGGCCACAAAACCTCAAAAGCACACATCCGCCAGATCTTCCCGCAAGCACGCACACACTCTTTCACGCCGTCCGCCGCCGGTTAGCTTGGTCTGCGCGAACAAGAAAAACACCCACTACATTTTCGTACGCCTTTTTTTGGGTAAGTTGGCCTGTGACCACAGGAATCAACCCCGTAAAGTGTTGACTATATAGTGTAGACTTCTAGTATGGACAGGATAAGGTACTGGGCAGAGGGAACGGAACAGTTTTTAATGTGACAACATCAACTACAAAATGAAAAAAACGAAAAACACTCACCTCCACCGAGTTGTAGACCGAGTCCACCCTCTCCCCGTGGGGGTCCAGCTGGGAGATGTGCACCATGCCGTCCACGTCGCCGTCCAGCCTCACGAACGCGCCGTAGTTCATGATCGACACGACGGTACCCTCGAGCCACTCATCGCTGGAGACGTCCGTGTACCTGCCGAAGTCTGCCGTTTACGCGCAATGGCCGCGCGGGTGTTCGTGGGGTTCGATTGGACTATTTAGTGTCGGCAGCACGAACGAGGCACGCCGCAAGCATATACTTCGTGTAGTATAAATAGTGGCGTAAGGGAAGCGATATACGGCGGTGGTGTGCGTGGCGAATATAACCGCCTTCTATATCATGCCCCCAACTGAAGTGGAAGCGGGCAATAAATCTAGCATAGTTAAGAATGAACAAGCACAACGAGATAAGATCTAGGCGGGGGGAGTCAGTCACCTTGGAGAAGCACACGAGCCTCCAATTCAGACAGGGCGTGAAAAATACCCTACATGTTCTCTGGCAGCCCCAGACATTATTCTTTCATACTTGTACGACACCAACGTTCCGGGTGTGCATACTGTACCCCCCGGCAGCGTGTATTTCGACTTTCAACACGAAGGCCGCTTGTGTACGGTGCCTGTCAAAACGGTTCGTTCGTACAGCGGTCACGTCCTCAGATCTCCCGTCAAACGTAATGGTGTTTTGTCCTCAACTTGTCCAAAAAGACTTGTGGATTTGTTGGTTTGACGTCAGCATCATCCGGGAGAGGCGGCTTGATTGACACACTGGCAGCAGCAGAAGGCACAACTTAGTGTACGCATATTTGTGAATTTATTACCGGTGTTATTTATATCCGAAGCTGAGTCCCTACGGTTTACCCAGCTCTTAGAGACTTGTAACCGAACAACACACACCCGCAACATAAGGAAAGACACAAAACCTGAACACACTCCCGAAAACAAACCACAAAAAAATAAGGTATTTAACATGGAGACTCACCAGCCTCCTCCGTGGGGGGGAGCATGCTGAGCGACATCTTGTTGTTGGCCGTGTTGACCTCCATGATTCGGATCTCGACCTCCTGGCCCTCTTGGTAGTGCGAGTGGATGTTCTCCGAGGTGATGGAGCGGTCCGTGCTACGACAAGAGAATAGTCCGTCAATGGCACGGTAACAAATATTACAATAAGCGCAGTACGTGTGTGATTGAGTGCTGCATCCAAACACCAAAAGAAAGAAGAGCCCGAGCCTTATTTTAGAGCAAGCATGGTTTAAATTTCAGTACCAGTGTCTAGATGCGATAAAACAGAACAAACACCAAAATATGGCATCCTAAAACCTTGGGATATTCAATTTTGAGAAGCATGCCACCGAAGGAAGACCCCCAATGCCGGGCAAAGTTTACAGAAGCAACTCCTTTCAACTGCCACGCCTAGTACAAGAAAGGGCAACATTCGGTGGAAAAATGAAACCGTGTGCCCGACTGCAGGGCACGTGCCCACACACACACGAAAAGAGCTAAAACTAAAATACATGGTATTATTTTGTACCTCATCTTGGAGACGTGCAGCAGGCCGTCGACGCCCTCGATGTTGACAAACAGGCCGTAGTCCGCCACAGCGGACACAGTGCCCTTGCGGAACTCCGTCGGGTCGGAGCCCGCGAGGTGGGACACGTCCTTGGTGGCAGCCACCGGCGCCGACCGGGGGGCTTCGCCCTGGCCGTACGGGAGGAGGCTCATGTTGATGCGCCCGAGCTTCTCGTCCACCTAACATGCAAGGGTGGCGGGGCACCGCAGTGACAGTCAAGGGGGGGGTATGGGGGTTAATTAACCACAGAGGTGACGGTACCAATGCTTGGTTCGATAGACATGCGCTGGATGACGACCAGTGCACTAATGCCTCCTTTTGAGAGGCGCCGCCATCTCACATCAGACAGGACGGAACAACAGTTCGAGTCATGGACAAGGTGGCGTGTGTCGCGGGTGAGGCGAGAGTGGCCGTATTGCTTCCTTGTAGCGCCAGGGTTAGGGGCGAAGCCAAAGTCATTTCAGAAGACATTCCTCGTTCTAAACGTCAAACGCATAGGTACGCTGAATATTTGAAGACGCAGGCCGACAAACTGCTTCAGCTGCCACCAACAACGCAAGCAAAGAACCAACACTTTATTAGACTTGAGCCACGTACCTCACGGATGCGCACGTCGACAACCTGACCCACGGACAAAACGTCGCTCACGTCCGCCACGTGTTCGCCGGTGGGCGACATCTGTACCGCACACACACAAAAAAAAAGCGCACGACGAGGATAAAGCGCGTCGGGGGAACAAGTCGAGGAGGAGGCCAAAAGAAGGGTAAGACGTACCATACCTATTTTCGTTTCAAAACGTGCTGCTGTGGCATCTGGACGAGAGCGGATTGGGGGCAGAGACCGAGGAGCGGGACACCACTGGGTCACGCGACCTGATGAAATTCAGCCCACACAGACCGACAACAAAACGACAAATGCCACCACGAAGAGACGAGGGGCTTGAAACCAACTATCGAGGGCTGTTTGTTGTATAGAGCACAGCGGAAGTCAACCCGGCGGAAAAGAGCAATCGAACGGGTAGGGTCTTACCATCCTGTTAAGATAGAGGTTCAACGACCTCGCAAGGTACGGGGAGGGGGGGCTGGAGTGAACGAAACACCCGACGGCGCCGACTCACGGCCTCCGTCACTGCTGTCTTCGGTGGGCACAACGGAATGGAGGTGGTCTCCAGATGCACCCTTTACCGCGTGGAGGGGGGCACGCCATGTCTCCAACGCACAAAAAAAAAGACCGGTCCTAGAGCGACGTTCAAGTTTTGACGTAAAACGCGTGTGGAAATGGCACATTCGACGTCTACAAGTGTAGCTAGCTTTCATGCCGTATTTGCTCGTTGGGTGCATTTTGTCAGCAGACCTGCGAGATGTGCACGAAGCCGGAGCAGCCGTCCTCGAGGGCGAAGAATGCGCCGTAGCTCACGATGTTCTCCACCTTGGCCGATACGAACTGGCTCGGGTCCTGTCAGTCGAACACAGAAAAAAAAATTGCGGCAGAAACGCATTAAAAAAAGGAGGCCGAAGCTGGAAGTACACGACACGAGTTGGCTCGAGTGTTGCATGTCAGCCATACTTGAGTGTAAAATAAAGGGCGACAGTAATCCAAGTTTGTAAGCAAAGTACCGGGTCGCAGGCATGGCAAGACGGCGCGTCAATCACAACGCAGACAACGTTAGCACTATCCCAAAAAACCAAAGTCCCCTCTTCGAAACAGGCTGCAGACAATCTCCGGTAACTACGCGTCCGCGGGACTCAGTGGGGCACTTTCTTCTCATTTGCATGACACGATTGACACCTCGACGTACTTTCACGAAGGGCCAACAGCTACAATACGCAGATCGTAGCGCAAGTGTCGCAGCAGATGCGCACGTCATACTTCAAGAACAAGCGTCGTATGGATAGTGCAACTAATCAATTATTTCAAGCCTCGGTGCGTCTAGTAGCGTTTTCTTATTTTTGCTTTCGTTCAACCGATCGTAATCATCTTCTTCCACATGAAGCATACATATCATCGCGAAATCGAGTGCATTGCGTCTTGGTCACCTCGGCGAGCATGTCGGCGTACTTTTGGACGTTACCCTGCTCGGCGCTGGACGCGCGGGGTTTCTGGCGCATGGAGAGCACCAGCTTGCGGGCCTCGCCGTCCACGTTCAGCACGCGCACGCGCACCTGTGAGTGTACGCGCGTTTGTCGTTGGCCGTCACAGCAGTCGAGGAGGATAAGGCAAGGCAAGATGGAGGCGGTGGGGGGG